GGGTATATTGGTTGCTATTTGCGTTAATTTAGCATGGATTCAAGGACACATTAAACGTTGACTTTAGTATATACAATGTGATCTGGAATGTCCCTAACCCGCAATAAAACCAAAGCTAAATAAGAATATTTGTTTGGCGGCTGTGCGGGATTTTTAAATATGCAGCCATGTCAGTTTAGAATACGGATTTATAATCCAATGCCTCATATTGGTAGAGTGCCACGCTTTACTTATGGACGAACAAGACTTTTGGAGTGTCGAAAAAATGCAAAGCCAAATTCCCGTCCCTATCTAACATATACTCTTTATTGTGATAGTCCTAAGGGTCCGACTTAAACCGCGGTCCATTAATAATGCAGAGCCTACCTATTTAATTGTTTGTTACATAAAAATAAGAAGACCTGGTATGGTTGCCAATGAGACAACTTTCCACCAGATACCAAACGAAAATTGCACCGTACGAATTATTGACGACCGTGCAAAACAGAAAGTACGGTTGATAAGCTTTCGAATGATACATAACATAGCCGTATGTTAGGTGGGTGCATTAAAGTAGTTAACTAAGCGTCTTTTTTAAAACTGTCACTCGCCTAGAACCCTGAATGCGACTGATCGCCAATTTTGTACAGATTTAAACAGCTTACCATAATTGAACAACTGAGTTTTAGTTAGGGTTTATATTTTTCAGTCTTTTTTTTCCTCCTATTTAGTGTTTTGTTGACAAGTGTGTCCATCAATTTTTTCCCGTGGCGTAGTCATGTTCCTGTCGACCGTTGATTTTTGAAGACCCCTTGGAATGGCCCATCTAGTCATCCACTAATTTTCTACGGAAATACATTGTGTTTGTTATTCTGTATTGATGTGTGTCGTACATTCTGTTTTAGTTTACTTTTTACTAGCAAAAACAATTGAATACTGCAATAATGATCGTTACTGTTTTCATACCCTAGAGCGTCATAATTGTCAAATAAAAAAAATGTATGTGTGTTTTGATACCGCTATAAAGTTCATAAGAGCTTGTGTCGCTCAACTTAGTATTGTTGATCATTTTTTGTTTACCCGTTCTCTCTATCTTCCTCCGTTTTTGTTCAAAGCATAAACAGAGTAAAACAATGTAATGTAAGGGCGATCAATCATGTAAAGAGTGAACTATTGATTTCAGCAAAAGTTTACTTATTTGTAGATCTTGTCATTATATTAAAGTGGCTATCAAAAAATAAAATTTAAGATAAGAAGCAGAAGACTAAGAAAGAGTAAAATACGGATTAAACTGACATTTCTATATTTATTTTAAATTCATGTCTTTCTAACCGTTTTTGCTTATTTAAGTTTTTATCCATTTATTATAGTTTTATAGCTATTAGGCAAAACAAAATTTAAAAAAACTCATCATTAAAGAGCAATAAGTTCAAATGGTGTGAAATGACGCTTTCGGCTTGTAGATTTATTGGTAGTTTTTGTCTTGCCGATCATACTAGCTAATTAAAGATTCTATCAAACTATACAGTTTTTCAGTTCTATGCAAAAAGCGCAAAACACATATATTAAACTAAATACCCTTATGATAGTTGCGACCAAGTCTGGGTGAATTTGGCAAAAGAGTTTCAAAGGAGAAGAATTTCGTAAAGGGTAACAACGATGGACGAAGACAGACAATGTCGCCAAGTGATGAGAATAGATCACTTAGCCTTTTGATCCAAGTGAGCTAATATAATAAAATATTCCTACCGTTTCCAAATCATTCCATATTGTGTTGAAATCATTATCGGATAGTTTGCCATCCTTTGAATGCGAAACAATAAAATTTTTATAGTATTTTATCCGAGCTATGTGAGCACCAGGCGACAAATCACTAGATTGTGGTAATGCTTCAAATCCATACAGTGGTTGAGGGACTGTAGGTGGTAAATTCCGAAGAAGACAAACCATTAAAGTAACATCTAGATTAGAAGAAAGTACAGGTGACCCTACAAAAAAGTATGAAAATGAAATACGTTTCTTCACTTTCCTTCACCAACGTTTGATTGGTAACCCAAAATTCTAATTCACTTTCATTTTTAACCTTAGTTTAACTGACTTATTGTGAAGTGTATCCGTTAGGATAAAGTCTTCTCTTGGTAAGCAGAACAATCAAGAGCATCCAAAGCATCCAAAGCAAAATGAGGCATGTCTGGTTAGTAGGATTTTGAACTTGTACTTTCTTTTGTTTGAGATTGATCTTACAGGATTTTAGATAAAATACATATAGCTTCATTTGTAACGCTTTTAATTTGATAAATTTATTCAGTTGACAAATGATAGTGGTCCAAATTTAGATATGTGCTCTTATTGAATTTTCGAGTATTTTTATTTAAACATATTGACCTAAAATATGATTGTTGTATCAAATAATCTAATTGGATAATGACTAGGTAACATTCTTAGATAACTTGTCTTTAACTAAGGAATGCCGTCATTATGAATTTTGGAAGTTATTTGTGATTACTATAATTATCGAGCGGTCCCATCAAAAGTATTTATTGTTAACGTTGGAGGTTAAGCGGTATTGGTGCCAAAATGGAGAATAATACTTTGCTTAATTTTTTATTTCTGAGATTTTAACCACAGAATGATGAAAAAAGATTTTTTTTTAATTTTACATTAAACAAGAGATACTTGACTGCATCAAGGATAGTTCTACCATGTCTACGTATATCTAATGTTTATCTGTCATAAATGTTGTTTACATAGCGTCGCATAGCAGGTAGAATGAAGATATCTGTATAGTATTTCAAGCTCTTCCGGTTATCTTCTTAATACTTTTCATAAGTATCTTTATTGTAAAGGCTTATATATAGTCTTTTTAACCTTAGTTTGAAACTAACAATTGTTAGAAAACAAGGAAATTTTATGATCTCTTGCTATAGAAATTCGTCTAATGTTAAATTTATTCTTATTTTCATTTATCACATTTTATTTTCATTCATATTTGTCATGGAATTTTACCTGAAGAAGGATATAATATATTCCATGTTCCTGGTACAATACTCTCTTTTCTCCTCTATGTGGTTTCTGCAGACTTAAAAAACAATGTCGATGTAAACAAATATCGATAGGTAAATACTACCGTACAAATATTTCATCATATGATACCTTTACAAGCAATGTTTAACCTTATATTTGTTAACTTTGTTATAATTTTATCAGGTATATTTACTTCATAAATCAGTAATCTTGTTTATACAGCGCGAGGTTTATTGCAGTTGTGCTATTTATGGTGTCCGTCATGTTGCTTGTGACTTTGAAAAAAGGACACATTTAGGTTCCGTTGTTAACATACTTAAAAGGATGTATTTTGAATAGAGGGACAAAGAAATAAAACCTATTTTGTGCTTTTACAGTTACGATATTAAATTTTTCCTGTTCAATATTTTTTTCTACTTTTTCACTTAATCATGTTTATTAGACGGAGTTCAAGATAACCAAATATATTATTTATGTTTCGACAATCACATCATGTACATGAAGAAAAGCGTTTTTATATAAAAAAAGATAAAAATTGTATAATTACTTTACGTGGTATTCACATATCATTTTTTTACTTTAAAAAAAAATATAAGTAATTCACAAACTGAACAATCGACAATTATATTTGATTTAATAAAATGTAACAGTAAAGTAAAAACTGATTGGAATTTAAAATACTAGTAAATATCTCGCATTAGATTCTTCAAACAAGAATCTAACGACATGAAATATTCTTGTTACGTCTGTTTTTTAGACGGAACGAACAACTGTCCCAAATTTTTTTGAGGGATTGGCAGTAACATGATCGGAGCTAAAATGTTGCCAAACAGTGGGACATGGATATTCTGCCAATACAAACGCAGCGTTATGTTCTCTTATATTTTCCGTTAAAGGACGTTCAAAATTAAATAATCTAAATGGTTTTCGTTCAGTTCAATTACGGCTTACATCAAGGGGTTTCTGGTTGGTTATGAGAGCAGGTCGAAAATGAAACGTTAAATCGATGATATTTGAAAGGAGTTTTGATCTCTATTAACGTAACTTTCGTTTGTTTGATGCTAATGAAAATTTAGAATAATTTATGATGGAATACATAGAATACAGACAACCAACAATAAGACAAGGTTAATCGTGCATTGAAAGAACCAACATGTCATCAACATCTGATGAAAAGAGTAAACAGGGGCGGATCCAGGGCGTGTTCCTTTTTGTTTTAAAACTAATGCTTGTGTATGCGGACATGTGGTTGGAACCCCCACTTTTTATCAGAATTGCATATATTGGAACCCCCTTTTAGAATTGGCCGGATCCGAGCCTGTTAAATACCTCAGGCACTTGCCTCTCGACAAAATTACCTACAAACCTCTAAACATTAATGAACATAATATGCATTTTTTCAGTGTAAGTGTCTGCAGTTATAAAAGGAAAAATATGATTATTAAATAGTTTAAAGGACAATTAATGCATAATTAGAAAAAAAACCGCTTATCTGATATTCAAGGACAGTAATGACCGACGGTTAAATTGTCAACGTTTGTATAAGGATGTGGATGGGGAGTCTTTCATTTCAGTATTATTTAAATTTCTAAGCCATATTTCTATGTTCTTTTTAAACTTTAAGTCATTTTTCCATATTATTTCGATATTTTGCATATTATTCCCCACTGACATTTCTCATAATTTGTTGGCCCATTTTCCTCTAGTACTTGCCCATTACTCTCTATTATGTTAACTCCGTGCAGACCCTCATATTAATTATTGAGAAAGAATATCAAAATCATTGTATTTAAATATGTACATGACCATGATATATATACTACTTTTGATCACTTTGTCGTTTTTTACTTTAAAGTTATTTCACCACCCTCTTGTTTAAAAACATAATTTGTTCATTGTACAGAAATAAAGGACCCCCTCAAGAGCTTCTTAGATATTTAGTTGGAAGAAAATCGATCAACTCATTATAAATCAAATACATACACGTACGTGCTATCTTAACTATTTAAGTTCATTTGTCCGGTAGCCGCTGCACGGTTGTCTGCTTGTTTAAAAAGTAGTTTCCTAATTGTATATTTGGCATTACTGTCCATTACTGAGATATACATAAAGGTAAGGAATACATTAAGTTTTACAAGTTTGTGTATCTGTGAAAGAAAACACACAGTTTTAATTGATAAGAACGTTATGTAAAGACGTTTCTTTTCATAATTGTTCTTGATAAGAAGTGATAAAACGCTGACAAATATTTAATACAACGAAATAAAGTGTGACTATATATTGATAAAGACGTGTGCACTGGTTAACATACTGTAATATAATGCTAGAGCTAAGTATTCAACACTGATACATATTGCAATATGTTGCGTCCTATCTGCTATGTCTATCAACACAACACGTGTGTGAATTATGAACTATATAACTATTTATGAATAAATAAATGAAAATTACATCTCTGGAAAAGTGTATAATCAGTCTGGACTGGACAAAAGACTGGACTTTCTAATGTTTATTCATTTTGATAACATGCACAACACGTGTGTGAACTATAAACTAAATAACTTTAAATGAATAAATGTATGATATTACAATATAACATCACTGGGAAAGTGTATTATCTGGACTTAACTGAACTATAAACTTGACTTTCAACTTTTTTTCATTTTGATAACATACACTTATCTATTAAGCTAGAATTAGAATGTTAGTATCAATTTTATTAAAAAAAAGGCAGATACAAGGACAAATTGTGTGTTGTTACATTTGTAAAAACATGTAATACATTAATCAACTTGTTTTATTTTATTTTGTTTTTTGAACGTATTAATTGTCTTAACTTTACAATGCATGCGCACAGAATTAATTGAACACAATGGTTTGTGAAATACTCTACATAACATTGTCTTAATGACAAATTAAATTGCTTCTAAAACAAACAGTTATGTTTAATATAAGATAGTATTTGCACAACTTATTTGATGTTTTTAAAGCGAATGACATTAAAATATAAACATGTGCCCGATACTCATGTACAGTTGATACAGTAAAAGGAATGAAGAAGATGTGTTTTAATAAAAAGGCTAAATCTTTCAAGTCAAGTCTTGAGAGTTAAGTCCAGTCCAATCCAATACAGTTTGGTCCAGTCCAAGAGTTCGGATAACACACTTTGCCTACGTCTCTTTCTTTCTCGTATCAAAATTCTACTTATCTATAATTGTATGTGTAGTCATAAAGCCTTTAACTGTCTGTGTAAACAAATTAAAGTAAAAAAATGCATAAAATGATATCAATAGAAAATTAGAAATTTGCAGCCTGTGAAAAATATAAATTTTTCTGCACGCGTTCGATAATTTCACTATTATTCAGTGGATCATTTAATCAATCTGAGAGGCTATCAAAGCGAGTGTGAATAGTGAATTCCACAAATGATTTGTTTCATAAATGCACAATTATAGATCCATATCCAGCCTCATTGACACATCAGAAAGATCACAATTGTTTTCCTCGTGATGATCTTCTAAATGGTGTGTTTGGTATAATGTCATCATAAATATTTTCATTATATTAGATTTCCCAACCTTTTTGAAGTGTGACAAATTTCAAGTTATTTCTTTATGTTGTTTGGTCGTTGCCGTAAGCATACTACCCTTTTCATTCTTAATTGTTAATGTTTGAGTAGTATACGTAGGTAGACAGTTTGTCGTTCTTCTCATGTTTAACAAGTCATATCTACAACTGTAAGTTCAGGTACTTTTACTGAATGTATTTTATTCGAAGTATGAGTTCATTTACTTTTGTTTTTGTGTTGTTTTTTTTTACAATTCACTGTTGGCTTGATCTTTTATTGGTATGTTTGGCATTTCGGTCTTAATTTTCCTTTCAATTAAAAGTTCCGCCGGTTACAAGTTAATTGTTGCGTGTGATGTCGCTCTTTAGTTGCGAAGAAATGTACGTTGTTCTTGATTCCATTTATTATACACGAATCTTCTTCCCTATTGTTCTAACGAATCGTTCACTTTCTACATTACGGTGTGATTTTTCTATGCTTAAATGCCATGTTATCCGCAAAATTTCGAAATTCTTCTAAATTTAATTGCGGTTCATTGTCACTTTTCAGTTCCTTTGGTATTCCAAAAATTGAAAAAAAATCTTTCTAGAAGCGGTAAGCCGGGTTTTGTGGTCTGACTTGTTGACGTTTCTATTACAGGATAGCTTATGTAATCATCAATTATTATCATTATGTAAAAGCCATTTTAAAACGGTCCAGAAAAGTCCATTCCCATATTTTCCCGTACATTATTCGGTAACTCTAACATTTGCAACGGTTTGAATACTTTTTTTTGGAGTGGAGGCTAAACATGATTTAGACGTTTGTTCAACAAGTATGTCTATTCCAGGTAAGTATTCTTTTTCACGTAACAACTGTTTTGTACGTATTATCTCCTGGTGCCTACTGCGTGTGCAATGTCGATTAGACACATGTGTAATCATGAACGTGAACGACTGTTAGTTCGTATAGTAGTCTTGAGAACGTACCAAGCGCAGCGCTTTCATGTCTGTACTACTTGTTTGACTTTAATGCGGTTTGTTTGTCACTATCTCATTAAGGGTCATTGCCTTTTGTCAGTCAAGTGTCTTATGTATTCGTCAGCTAATTGAGAATGTACATGCAATAGATGAAGTCGTGGTCGGATGTCTGATCCCTCATATCCACGCATATCGATTTTGTTCTTGTTTTTGGGGGGGTTTGGGCCACAACTATCAAGGTGTTGGTCTATCAACCTGTTATGATATATCCTCTTTTTTGAGTTCTTCAGGTTCTGTTTCCACTTGTTGACGTTTTCGAAACGGAATATGTCTATGCGGTTGAATAATCGGTTTTACAATATGAATTTTCATTTTTCATCTTTGAATTTACCGAATTTACCGATTTTGTTGAACACATCGATATATCTATTGCATAATATTTCATGCTTATTTGATACTGTGGACTATATATACATCAACAAATTTATCCTAGCACAATATATTTCCATAATTTCCTTTCAGCATATACACAGGTGCTGTTGATATTTAATGGTCAATTTCATCCTCAGCATGAAATGTTCCAATCAACTTCAGATTTTTATCTGATCCATAGGCGAATACTCTTGGGTCTGTGTGAGAAAATTTTGGTTTACACTTCATATCCTCGAATGTTCCTGCATCAATAACATTGATACTGGATCCTGTGTCGATTAAAATATCCACATTATAATTATTGATTTTCATGGTAATGTTCGGTTGTCCTTTCTGTCTTTCTCATTTCCATCATCAGAACTGCTGTCTTGGGTATGCCCGTATTCATAGGTATCAATTTTATTGACTCTTCTTTTCTATTGTAAATGTAAGTTCCATCAAAATTGATCACATTTGGATCTGCATACTGTTGCGAAATGACTCATCTTTTTTTAATAGTTACAACTTGTTCCAAATGCTGGGCGCTTGTTAGCATGCGGAAAGTCAACTCCACAGATTCTGTCTTCACAGACTTGTCTTTTACCAGGATTGCAAGCATCAATCATTTATCGAACTTTAGACTTAAAACCATGTTTTACCACCTATTTTATAAAACAATTTAACAAATACTTTTGCTACTGATTTTTACTCGTATTTAAATGCAGATAAATCACTTTATAAGGCTGTAAAAATGGATTCTTTCCTAAGATTAGAAAGCAATTGCATAGATGAGTAAACTGTTCTTCAGAAGTATCGCTACTCTTGTTTTTGACTTTTGGTCAGATATTCGTAATCCTCTAATTTTATCAGCGTGCCATTATAATTATGAACAATTATCCTTATTATTCTTTTCATAATATTACATATAGTTGAAACAGCCATTTTTGAATATATTTAAATATTCTTGTTATTTTTTTCAAAGTTTTTAATAGAAAAAGGATGCCAATGTTAAGTTTAAGGAAACTGTAGAAAGATTTCCTGCCATGTTTTTAATTGTTTCCATCCCAAAACAAGGACACGGACATTTCATTTTTTTCTGCTTTTTATGTGCCGTTAACTTGCTTAATTATATGCTTTCTATTCATAACGGACCTTAAAAAAACTTATTATTATGAAACAGTGGGGTGAACATCCTTGATAAAATTGATTGTACCAATTTGTATGCACGAGATGTGCATTTCGACAAATCAATGTCTCTTCAGTGATGCTTGAGGTCAACATGTTTGAAAATCCAACACATAATAAAACCGTTAAAGTTAAAATAAAATTAAGGACCTAAGGTATAGTCAAATGCGGACAAGGAATCCGGAATCTTTAAATTATTTTAATTAACGTATACAAATCTTTTGCAGAAAAATGGAATTTCTTTTAATAACTTTGCTGATTTTTTCTGGGAGACCAAATCCTGAATGTCGGATTAACATTGATGATCCAAGTTTTCAAAACATAAAAGCTGCCCTTCCGATTCCACCAGGAACATCAATTATTGGAGGTATGTTGAGTGAGATTGTACTGTTCTAGTCAAGCCTGTATGTAAAGGTTGTCCTTAGGACAAGACAAATATCTTATATGAGAAGTGACCTTTGAATTGAGGTTCATTGGTATAACCACATGTGAACAAATGACGGGGAGCTGACAAGAAATCATTTCTTTTAATAAAGATGACCTTTATAGTAGGTTTTACTGCATTTTACACCTATCGATAGTCATAAATGTTAAAGGTTGATTCATCCTTCATTACGCATTTTCCACGTAAGGGGGTACCTACCACTTTGACTTAAATGGATTTAGCTCTTTTAATTTCTTAAAATTTTGAACCACACAATTTACAGGAATAATTTTATTGAATATATTGCAGTTTAAGAAGCACTTATTTGATAATTGAGACGCTTGGTTTCTCTCTACTAATAGTATGTCATTAAAACACTAAACTGATTTCTAAACAGTTAACTCCCTTAAGTGAATTGTACCTCCATATTTATGTGATAATGGATGTTGAGGACAAAATAGAAATCGAAAAACAAATTTGATCACATGACATTCAACACACGACATTCCCTGAACTGCAGGCTCCTGACTTTGATATCTATCAACACATGGCATTCCCTGAATTGCAGGCTCCTGACTTTGATATACATCAACACATGACATTCCCTGAACTGCAGGCTCCTGACTTTGATATCCATCAACACATGACATTCCCTGAACTGCAGGCTCCTGACTTTGATATACATCAACACACGACATCCCCTGAACTGCAGGCTCCTAACTTTGATATGCATCAACACACGACATCCCCTGAACTGCAGGTTCCTGACTTTGATATGCATCAACAAACGATATCCCCAGAACTGCAGGCTCCTAACCTTAATATGCATCAACACACGACATCCCTGAACTGCAGGCTCCTGACTTTGATATTCATCAACACACGACATCCCCTAAACTGCAGGCTCCTGACTTTGATATCCATCAACACACGACATCCCCTGAACTGCAGGATCCTGACTTTGATATGCAGCAACACACGACATCCCGTGAACTGCAGGCTCCTGACTTTGATATGCATCAACAGACGACATTCCCTGAACTGCAGGCTCCTGACTTTGGAAATACAAATACAGGAAATTGCAGTATTCAACATGTTTGCTGGCACCAAACATTCCCAAAACCTGAGATAGTGATATAACAGCACAAGAGAAGAACAAACTGTAGAAACCAAATAAAAAAATCTTACCTGATTATGATAATATAAATCATACAATAACAACTGTAAAAATCCTTTAAGACCCACAGTACTGATTTCAGAGTACTGAGATTGTTCAAAGCCATTTACAATTAAAACAGAAAGTCATGTATTCAAACCAAATATCAATCATTTCACATCAAACGGATTTAGTGTAAAGACGTCATAAACTGTCAGAGAAAAAAACATGACTGTTTTAGGACAATAAAAATAGTAAAAAACTAAGTTTGACACGTTTAGCCATCTTTAGGGATCTGTATGACATACTGTAGAAAAAATATAAATTCTTCAAGATGTAGCAACTATTCCGCTCTTCAATTTCAGTTATAATTGATGAAAATAAATATTGTATAATGATTGTCATTCTTTCAAGAACATCCAGAATTCCAGCTTTGTTATTACAATCCGAGAGAGTTCTTTGCTCAACTATGGAGCCTAGGATCGATTTTAACTTGCAAGTAGACCTCTCCATGTTTTCCGATATCAGTTGTAGGTTGTATATACCGTATTGTCAAAGGATTTTTTGTTCGTTTCGTTCTACGGTTTCATATTTAATTTTGTATTTTGTCTTTTTTTTAAGGTCTGGGATACTCAGGTTTCCACGTAAAAGATGTTACCGACGCTAGAACAACATATATTGAAATTCCAAGACGATCCGACCTTGACCTAGAACATCTTTTGTTCAGCGCATGTAGATTCGACGAGAATCTGAGAAAATATGTATTTGGACCTGTAATTTAACAAGTTATAGAAAGAAACTGTACCCAAATTTCGAAACAGCAAAATATCAATAACATATGAAAAATATTTATTGTGTTTCTGAAAATATATATTGTTTAATGATATGAATGAATGCAATAGTACTTTACTAATGAAACAATTCAAATGAATTGAGCAGGAAAATCTCGTGCAAACAAACACGTGCAAACAAAAACTGATGGAATCGTATTACCTCGAAAAGGATCGAGACCGGCTCCGTCGACAGGGTAAGCGTCTCCTGCTTTGCATGCAATACCCGGCATGTGAATCGACACTCATATTTTACTCACCTTAGCAGCAAAATTCCAACTTCACCCGCGTATGGAGTATACATTCCTCAATTCGTACGATATTCTAAAGCATGTAGCTGTAATTCCGACGTTTAATAAAACGTCATTGGTGTCTAGGCAAAAAAGTGATTTGGCAGTATTTTGTCAAAGAATCTTCTTTTACGAAAATAATTCTCTTGCAATTCATTTTTCGAAACATTGTTTCGTTCACAGATTTTAATTATATCGTCTTTGCCTTTTTTATGTAATTGATTTTTAAAGTTCTCGTTATTTTCGAAATATGGAAACTAATTTATTTCTGCCAAAAAAGATAATCCGGTGACCCCATATCAATTATAATCCTAAAAAAGGAAACAGTTGTAGTGTATACAATTAATTGAAAACATTGCATTAAGAACTTTTAATTTATTGTTTCTCAGTAAGTATCTTAATTAATTTCTGCCAACAAGATAATCCGGTGACCCCATATCAAGTTTCGTATGTCATTTTTTCAACGAGTTCTTAAATGTATACATGTTTCACAGAAAATCAAGAATCCAAACCCATTTCGTATCTTAAAGGACGTACATGTACTATGTTATTTTTCAATCTTGGTCTCTGCTGTGGGTCTTGGTAGTCAAGTTGTCTGAGTAGTTCATTTACTGTATCACTAGCTTGTCAACACTGAGATTGTGAGTTCAAACCAAACACGTGGCTGGTGCAATCGACTCCATTCTTAATTAACTAGCGTAGGATTGCCAGTTTTCTTACCTAAGGTCGGTGTTTTTTCTGGGAACTCCGGTCTCCTCCACCTTTATCAAAATGCGCTACGAACTAGCTGATAGTGCAATATGCGGTGGTAAATACCAAAACTCAATCAATCAATCTTTTTTTTTTTTGTTGCTTTTCGACCTAGAACGAACTGTATTTAGTGCTCTGCTGTCTGCCGACTTAGAGCTGTTGTCTCTGGGCGTCTGTCTTCTAATTATACTCGAAATATGGAGTAATTTATTTCTGCCAAAAAGATAATCCGCCGACCCCATATCAATTTATTAGTCTTAAAAAAGGAAACCGTTGTAGTGTATACAATAAATTGAAAACATTGTATTAAGAATTCTTAATTTATTGTTTCTCAGAAAGTATAAATGTTAAGTAGGTCATTTTTTAACAAATTCTGAAATGCATTCATATTTCACAGAAAAATCAAAAGTCCCACCCCATTTCGTATCTTAGAGGAAGTATATGTACTATGCTAGTTTTCAATCTTGGTCTCTGCTGTTAATCTCGATGGTCAAGTAGTCTTAGTAGTTCATCTACTGTATCACTAGCTTGTCAACACTGAGGTTGTGAGTTCAAACCTTAACACATGGGAGGTGCGTTCGACTCCAGTCCTCCGACTATGAAAAAATGGACGCCACGAAATAGCTGATAGTGCAATATGTGGTGGTTAACACAAAAGATCAATCAACCAATTTGTTTTTGTTGCTTTTCGAACTAGAACGAACTGCATTTAGAGCTCTGTTATCTGCCGACTCATAACTGTTGTCTCTGGGCGTCTGTCATGTAAATATAAGACTCGTGAATAGTACACTTGGCATTCGCATGTTTAAATTTTAAATCGAAAATTGTCAGTTTTGTTCATATTTGTTTATTTTATTTTTTCTTTGTGATGAACTTTCATATCTTGCCTCACCATACGTCAATGGTATAAGCAATTGTAAAACACAACTATAATAAAATTTTCAAAAAATGTTAATGATCAGTTTTATAGTACATTTCAAACGTCAAGGTCTACAATTATTAGTATTTGAATAATATAGGATCTAATTTATCGTATACCAAATTGGTAAAATGAAAGGTCCTTTAAATTATGTCAATATCAAATTGGATTTCTAAACATTGTTTCGTTTAAAGATTTAAATATATGTTTTTTCCTTTTTTCAGATATTTGATTTTTAAAGTTCTAGTTATTCTGAAAATATGGAGACTTATTTATTTCTGCCAAAAAGATAATTTAATGACCCTATATCAATTCAATATTCTTAAAAAGTTATAATGTATACAATAAATTGAAAACATTGCATTAAGCATTTTTAATTTATTGTTTCTCAGTAAGTATAAATGTTTCGTATGTCATTGTTTTAACGAGTTCTAAAATGCATACATGTTTCACAAAAAATAAAAAATCCCAACCCATTTTGTATCTTAAAGGATGTACATGTACTATGTTATTTTTCAATCTTGGTCTCTGCTGTGGGTCTCGGAGGTCAAGTCGTCTTAGTAGTTCATCTACTGTATAACTAGCTTGTCAACACTGAGTTTGTGAGTTCAAACCTTAACACATGGGAGGTGCGTTCGACTCCAGTCCTCCGACTATGAAAAAATGGACGCCACGAAATAGCTGATAGTGCAATATGTGGTGGTTAACACAAAAGATCAATCAACCAATTTGTTTTTGTTGCTTTTCGAACTAGAACGAACTGCATTTAGAGCTCTGTTATCTGCCGACTCATAACTGTTGTCTCTGGGCGTCTGTCATGTAAATATAAGACTCGTGAATAGTACACTTGGCATTCGCATGTTTAAATTTTAAATCGAAAATTGTCAGTTTTGTTCATATTTGTTTATTTTATTTTTTCTTTGTGATGAACTTTCATATCTTGCCTCACCATACGTCAATGGTATAAGCAATTGTAAAACACAACTATAATAAAATTT